TATGCCATCTCATGCTTGTCTTATTAAGATGCCATCTTATGCTTGTCTTATTAATATGCCATATCATGCTTGTCTTATTAATATGCCATCTCATGCTTGTCTTATTAATATGCCATCTCATATTTGTCTTATTAATATGCCATCTCATGCTTGTCTTATTAAGATACCATCTTATGCTTGTCTTATTAATATGCCATCTCATGCTTGTCTTATTAAGATACCATCCTATGCTTGTCTTATTAAGAAACCATCTTATGCTTGTCTTATTAATATGCCAGCTTATGCTTGTCTTATTAATATGCCAGCTTATGCTTGTCTTATCAATATGCCATCTCATGCTTGTCTTATTAATATGCCATCTCATGCTTGTCTTATTAATATGCCATCTCATGTTTGTCTTATTAATATGCCATCTCATGCTTGTCCTATTAAGATACCATCTTATGCTTGTCTTATTAATATGCCATCTCATGCTTGTCTTATTAATATGCCATCTCATGCTTGTCTTATTAATATGCCATCTTATGCTTGTCTTATTAATATGCCATCTCATGTTTGTCTTATTAATATGCCATCTCATGCTTGTCCTATTAAGATACCATCTTATGCTTGTCTTATTAATATGCCATCTCATGCTTGTCTTATTAAGATACCATCCTATGCTTGTCTTATTAAGATACCATCTTATGCTTGTCTTATTAATATGCCAGCTTATGCTTGTCTTATTAATATGCCATCTCATGCTTGTCTTATTAATATGCCATCTCATGCTTGTCTTATTAATATGCCATCTCATGTTTGTCTTATTAATATGCCATCTCATGCTTGTCCTATTAAGATACCATCTTATGCTTGTCTTATTAATATGCCATCTCATGCTTGTCTTATTAATATGCCATCTTATGCTTGTCTTATTAAGATACCAGCTTATGCTTGTCTTATTAATATGCAGTAGAAATCTGTAAAATAAAAAATACTTGTACTTATCATGTAATTCAATTCATATATTAGAACCACTTTATTTTCCCATTTGGAATATATATATATATATATATATATATATATATATATATATATATATATATATATATATATATATATATACCAGACAGAACAGACTGTGCTATCCCTGGATTCTGTAGTAGAATCTTGATAATAGTGAGCAGAAATTATAGTTTAATACAAATAATACTATCATACAGGTTAAAGAAATTAAATTTGTACTCTACCGAGTTTCGAACCTAGGTCCGCGAGTAATTGGCACCCATCGCCTTACCTGCACGCACCAACCCATATACCGTCACGACTAAGCACGCATCACCAAAAAATGATGGCACTGAATCGTTGTTATATAAGCTCGTGCGTAGCAGACACACGAGCTTATATAACAACGATTCAGTGCCATCATTTTTTGGTGATGCGTGCTTAGTCGTGACGGTATATGGCAGACGCACGAGCTTATATAACAACGATTCAGTGCCATCATTTTTTTTGGTGATGCGTGCTTAGTCGTGACGGTATATGGGTTGGTGCGTGCAGGCAAGGCGATGGGTGCCAATTACTCGCGGACTTAGGTTCGAAACCCGGTAGAGTACGAATTTAATTTCTCTAACCTGTATGATGTGTCAGATAATAGTGACACACACACACACACACACACACACACACATATATATATATATATATATATATATATATATATATATATATATATATATATATGTGTGTGTGTGTGTGTGTGTTATTTAGATATGCATTTTCATGTTAAGGCTTGTAAACTTCTTCTTCTCTCTCTCTCAGAATGAAAGATATAAAACGTATAAGGACTGTAGACTCTGTAAATTTATATTTGATTATTATTTATACGTCATAAAAGATGCTCAAAAATTGACTTCAAACAACAAAACGTAGACTTCAAGTATTAACTTCTTCTAAGTTAGTTATCTACATGAATCCTGCAAATAGATAGTGACTGAATATGTACGAAATATTACTGTTTAATATTCTATCACCCATAGAGATAGTATACCTTTTATATTGCACGACAAACGGATACATTTTAGAAAAAGTCTTGATTAAATATTGTAACAAAATGGCGTTTTTATAAATTGTGACCCTCATGAGTTTTGATTGCAAATCGAAATTAAGTGACAATCGAAACTGGGACACATTGTCTGTTATTGAGCTAGACACCAAGCTTGCGTATGCCAACAATTCACGTTTGACTGCAGAAATGAATGAAACAAAGAACCAATATCAATACAAATAAATTCACAATCGTTAAAATATTTTGTTTAAACGCGTTACACTTTAAAAGCTGTTAGGCACGACTGCTCTATGGTGTTTCTACAGTACTCCAAACCTAATGTCCACTATCAATCCGAGAAAGAAATGTATTAACGAAAATAATATTGTCTTCATTTCGTTTGGAAAAAAAGTCATTAATTTGACAAAATGCATAATATGTATTTTAAAAAAAAATTGTAAAAGCTTTTTTTTTCATTCATCCACAGGCAAATCTAGTAAATCTAAACTCCGGCGTTTGATTCATATAACGTACATTGTTTACAATCAAAAGTAGTTCCTGACAGACAATTTTAGTTTTAGAAATACGAGGAGAATGAAGTAGTGCAGTGTGAAAAAACACTGCATGATTCTTACAATGTAATGTTAATAGAGACAATAAGAGCATATAATAAATTCTAATTGCTGACTACATTTTTGGTACAATTGACGTACGAACGGAATTCCTAAAACATAGTGCTTACTATGTTGTTGGTAGAGTGAACATATGAATAATAAGTTGGTATAGATTCTAGGCCTTAAACTAACTTATAGAAAGAAGCATTACCATAAAGTTTTAAATACCAAATAATCCCGAACGTACAATCACAAGTCCAAAAGTATAGAAAGTTCTGAATGAATGGCAATATTCTTTATATACTTATGAATGTCATTGCATGAAATCACAAGACTCTAAGGTAATATATTAATTCAAAGTCAATTTAGTGTTTCCAATGAATGAGTTATATGAATAATTCCCCTCACACTATCTGAACACACTGCTAGAAATGAATTATTGATTTATAAAACACACACACACACACACACGCACACTTAATAAAAATCTTGTTTAATACTTACAATCATGGAAAAAGTCAGATATGCAAAAACTCCATCCACAACCCTTAGTTACGGACAAACGTCAAATACACAATGTCAGTTAAATATACATAGCAAAGTGTTGACTATCTTGTTGTTACATTGGACGTGGGTTCCGGGTGGCCTTTACCGACCATTGTATTCTCACCTCTGTTCACGTGGATTCGATTACAGCAGGGAATAATTTGTCACTGGCATTTCATAGTGTGGGGGAGAGACCATCGTATCAAAGCATCTACACTGATATATTATACTGACGAATTTGGCACTAACATTATGGCGACCGTGTCCTGCTCAATATGATTGTTATATGGTTACCACGTCTTGCTCAGTGTGATTACCATATTTACCGTGTGTTGCTCAGTGTGATTACCATATTTACCATATGTCGCTCAGTGTGATTACCATATTTACCGTATGTTGCTCAGTGTGATTACCATATTTACCGTATGTCGCTCAGTGTGATTACCATATTTACCGTGTGTTGCCCAGCGTGATTATCATATTTACCGTGTGTTGCCCAGCGTGATTATCATATTTACCGTGTGTTGCTCAGCGTGAATACCATATTTACCGTATTTTGCTCAGTGTGATTACCATATTTACCGTGTGTTGCTCAGTGTGATTACCATATTGATACCGTGTATTTATAGGTTACTGCATTTGTATGGGAAAATATGAACGAGTTTTTCGGATGGGTATACTGCACGACATTGGGACTGCAGTATATCCATCCGACAAAACGAGTTCATATTTTCCTATAAATACAGTAACCTTTTTATTATATGCTCATTTCTTATTCTTCCCAAGGCTTAAATATATCAACAAAAATACACTACAAGAAAGAAAGTAACTAAATGTATGCCGCATTCCAAACTAAATAAATAAGCGTTGATGGATCATAGCACAACATTATTAATGAGCGCATAACTCCGCCCATATAAATTTGAAGATAGTCGCGCTAGACGTAAGTTTCGAAAGAAAATGGCGTTTGGTCTACTTAAAATTGAAATTTCGAATAATATTGTTAATGAATACTCAATGCAACAACTTTTCCATTTGTTCTGGAATGAATACCTTTTGGTATTTTTGTTGATTCAACGCAATATTTTGATTATGGTCTGGATTTATCTACATGAAGTGACATGCCTCGGATTCCAGCAGCGTCTGCCAATTTAATATTTTTTAAGTGTGTTGACATCGGCATGCGTGTTTTTTCTGTCATTGAATGATTCAGATCATAATGTGGGAAATTGTGAAGCCTTTTCATTACAATTATCGAAAAGATGATATGGAATTTGATGTTTATTTCATTTTGGGTGCAGTAAGAAGGATATAACTGCACTTAGAATATACTCGAAATTACAGTAATATTTCAAAATGTGTAATCAACCTTGAGAACCCATGACATGGCTCATGTAATTCAGATTTACAGACTTATTAAAGTATATTTTTTGAGGGAATTCAGGATGTAAAATTGTAGGTATATTGTTTGAAGACAGTGTATGTGTATCACTTCCGTGTTATTGTGAAGACCCTGTATATCTAGCTAATTCTGAAACATTGTTTCACAAAAGTAAACGCGGAATCTGCCAATGCAATTTGTATGTGTCAGTCTATGAAACATTTGCTAGTATGTGGCAGTCCATGAAATATCTGCTTTATTTCATTCATAATTTTTTTTTTGGCGTTAGAAAATAGTTTCTTTGAATTGAGCATGCGGGGTACAGTATGAAGGTGTGGAATATTAGTAAATACTAAACGATTCTGACAATGTAAAGTTAACGGAGAAAAAGAAATGAGCATATAATAATACTCAGTATGATTGCCATATGGTGTAACTCGGCCCGGAGATTGAACCCAAGACCTCCAGCATCCGAGGCGGACACTTTAACCACTGGGCTACCAGAGCTGTCTTAACATATGGTTACCATTTCTTACTTAGTATGATTACCATATGGTTACATTGTTGGAAAGATAAACTATACATTCAGAATAAATATCCAGTATTACAAAGCTTAAGAGTATTTCATAATATATGAAATCAAAAACAAAGGAAAGTTTAGCCTGTGAGATTTTCATCAGATTTCATCTACAGTACGGCGAAATTGGTTGTTAAGTTAAATGCTAGTATGCGTTAGGAAAACACATTTGTCAGAAAGACAGAACAAACAGCAAGCATTTAGATTATTTTTAAAAAGTGCTGTTGTTCACAAGCTATATTTGAAATGGATGTGGAATGTTTCTCACTTAAAAGTTACGATATCAGGTAATTAAGACTTGCTGGGGATTTAATTCGATTGTAACACAAAAAGAACGTTCATTTTTTGGCCACTTTAGCAGCGTAAACTGATCCTAAAACGGGTTGCTTGTGTTAGAAAAAGTGAAATTTTCTAAACACTGCGTAAAAAAAATCGTAAAACATTCAGGAAACGTTAACTCTTTGACAGCAGAATAATGCGTTACTCTGTAAACACAATTATGTTCAATATTTTTGGAAGATTTCCATGTTAAAACTCATCTTCATGCAAATTTTAGGTGATGAGTGGAGTAGATGTATCTATCTTTTCACATAAATATGTTTCAAAAACATCTATACAAAGGAGACCTGAATTAGCGGAGCGAATTAATAAAACGTTAACATTTCTTACCTTCAAAGAAGGTATATACGGAATCAACAAAGCATATTATCAGTCACCCTACATCAAGATAGCATATTATCAGTCACCCTACACCAAGATAGCATATTATCAGTCACCCTACATCAAGATAGCATATTATCAGTCACCCTACATCAATATAGCATATTATCAGTCACCCTACATCAATATAGCATATTAACAGTCACCCTACATCAAGATAGCATATTATCAGTCACCTTACATCAAGATAGCATATTATCAGTCACCCTACATCAAGATAGAATATTATCAGTCACCCTACATCAATATAGCATATTATCAGTCACCCTACATCAATATAGCATATTATCAGTCACCTACATCAAGATATAATATTATCAGTCACCCTACATCAAGTTAGAATATTATCAGTCACCCTACATCAAAATAGCATATTATCAGTCACCCTACATCAAGATAGAATATTATCAGTCACCCTACATCAATATAGCATATTATCAGTCACCCTACATCAAAAAAGCATATTATCAGTCACCCTACATCAAGATAGAATATTATCAGTCACCCTAGATCAAGATAGCATATTATCAGTCACCCTACATCATGACAGCTTATATTTGTCAACCTACATCAGGGCAGCATATTGTCAGTGAGCATTTTCAACGTCAAAATTAACAAATTGGAAAACCCTTTAATTCAGGGACTCATTATACAGGGACGATTTTGTTTCGATCTGCAATTGATCAAACAACATCTATTTCACTGGATATCAACTTCAAATATACTTTTTAAAAAATCCGGAATGTGAGAATAAAATGGGTTCTAAGTTTTGAAATCTAAAAGTGCATATGTGCACTTCTGTCTATTACATAAACTTCATGATGACAAAAACATTTATTTGACCATTCCCTTAAGTTTTTTTTATGCAGGAGACAAAACTTTTAAGACTACATCTCAAATAAACTAACTGTCCTCCTGTATAAAACGGCACTCAGTTTAATGTGAGTCACGGCACATATGCAGCATGGGAAGCAGACCAGAAGGTCCTGCTTCCGTTGTTCAGGACGTTATTGCGATCTAGACTTGACAATGTCTCGATTGTGTATGGATCATCTCGCAAGTCTTCCATATGGATGTTTGACTCGATACACAATAGGGGTCCTGAACTTTTGTCTGAGAGGATTTGAGAATATCTCCTTTAGAAAGCATCTATATTGATCCAGATAAACAACCAATTTAGCTAGATGAACAAAAATGACTCTTCAACAAATTATCAAAATGCCCTGATCCATAATAGCCCGAATGAAGAGTCACCTTTAGTACGAAAACCACTGACATCCATGTTAGCTCGATTAAAGTGTCACCTTTAGTACGAAATCCACTGACATCCATCTAAGCCAGAACATTGTGCCATGTTCAGTACGAAATCCACTGACATCCATCTAAGCCGACCATAGTGTAATTTTTAGTACGAAATCCACCGACATCCATCTAAGCCGACCATAGTGTAATTTTTAGTACGAAATCCACTGACATCCATCGAAGCCGACCATAGTGTAATTTTTAGTACGAAATCCACTGACATCCATCTAAGCCGACCATAGTGTAATTTTTAGTACGAAATCTACTGACATCCATCTAAGCCGACCATAGTGTAATTTTTAGTACGAAATCCACTGACATCCATCTAAGCCGACCATAGTGTAATTTTTAGTACGAAATCCACTGACATCCATCTAAGCCGACCATAGTGTAATTTTCAGTACGAAATCCACTGACATCCATCTAAGCCGACCATAGTGTAATTTTTAGTACGAAATCCACTGACATCCATCTAAGCCCGAACATTGTGCCATGTTCAGTACGAAATCCACTGACATACATCACTGCTACCAATAATTAAACTTTCTACTCTCAGAAACCAATGGTGTTTCCCGTTGTGGCATACGAATTTGACCTTGCAGAACACCAAAAATTAAACTTTCTACTCTCAGAAACCAATGGTGTTTCCCTTTGTGGCATAAGAATTTGACCTTGCAGAACACCAACAATTAAACTTTCTACTCTCAGAAACCAATGGTGTTTCCCGTTGTGGCATAAGAATTTGACCTTGCAGAACAAGCAACAACCAGTCTTGCAAATTCTAAACAATTTTCTGTTCGTAATTAACCATCTCGTTTATCACCCCCTCCCTTAATAAATAAATCATATATAATATTATGTCTTTACCAGTATAGAAAACCCTTAACCAATCATGTATTTTATCAGGAAATTCAATGAAACCGAACTTCATATCGTAGCGATAAGTTCCTGAAGATGGATGGTTCATAAATGGAATCAAAGGTTGAAACGGCCAGTACATGTTGAGACTGTTACTGGATAAATCCTTCACTATTATCGCCAAAATTACAGACATACTCTTCTTGAACTACATCGAAAACTTCTATAACAATCCTATTCTGCTCGGATCCCCTTTTGCTACGAGCCCATACTCTTAAACAAAAAAGGAATTTTAAAACAAAAATGTATCAGCCATCAAACCGCAACTGAATATATATATATATATATATATATATATATATATATATATATATATATATATATATATATATATATATATATATATATATATATATATACACACACACACACACATACAAACTGAATCCTTATTGTGTATTATTAAGTGCTCAACAGCTGGTTCAAATGGTTACCACTATTTTTAGTGATCAGTATGACAAAGGCTTGGAGAAAACTTGAAAATGTGTACCATAAAATTTCTCATCTCAAAATGAATTTTCAGAAAATGTCCCGTTTCTTTTGGTCCCAGTTTGTTGTCTGTTTTGGATTGATGCAATGCTCTCACTCCCATAAAGATGTTAACAATAAATATCGATACCACAAATAATTTTCTTACCCCATGGAATTGAATAAAGGAATGTATTGTTTGTGTATTCTGATATAGTTGAGTACAACATGCAACTTCGAGTCATTCCTATCAAAATGGCTTCGGTCCTTGCTGTATACAAGGAAAGTAGAAACACATATCTTGTTCAAAGTGGCTTTGTGTAACAGCAGTATCCCATTACAGCATATCATTTTTTGAGTGTCAATACCAGTATAAAACGATCTCTCGAACAAAATATTTTATTGTCAAAGGAAAAATCACAGTGAAACTATGAAACTGAATATCCAGTAAATTGTAAAAAGCATATGTATCCTGTGTACCAAGAAGTCATTTTTTTTTGTATGGGAGCATCCTAAAATTGATGGTGACAGGAGGTTTGCATGCTTTAAAAGAAGCAATGAACATACTTTTGGATGCTTTCGTAAACTTTACACTCTATAATGTAGATGATAATGCAGACCACAGTGCTGGATTTAATGACCAATGAAATAAAATCAAACAAGGGCATAGCTTAGAACAGATGGCTTGGAACTGATGGCTTGTTTGTATTTGGACATGTTGTTGCAAGACAAGCATCAGTTGAGCAGAATTGATTTATACCCGAGACTGAATAGAACAATGTTCTATTGGACGTATACCCGAGACTGAATAGTGCCATGCTTTGTTGGACGTATACCCTGAGACTGAATAGAGCCATGCTCTGACACATTCCAGAGACTGAATAGTGTCATGCTCTATTGGACATATACCTGAGACTGAATAGTGCCATGCTCTATTGGACATATACCTGAGACTGAATAGTGCCATGCTCTATTGGACAAACACCCAAGACTGAATAGTGCCATATTCTGTTGGATGTATATCCCGAGACTGAATAGTGCCAAGCTCTGACACATACCCGACTGAATAGTGCCATGCTCTTCTGGAGGTATACCTGAGACTGAATAATTTTGTGCTGTATTGAACGTATACCTGAGACTGAATAGTGCCATGCTCTATTGGACTTTATGTGTACCAATTAAAAGTCAAAACCTAAAGTGAGAAATTAAGCTAAACTTTGAGAACAAAACCTAATACAAGATGACAAGTGGAAGTGAAACCTTTTCCAATGCCTCTGGACTTCATTCCAAGATAATGTTTTCTAACTATAGTCTACCTGGATGCAAATTCAAAGCTGAAACATTAGTTATTACAAAATATGCATGTGACTTTGGCAACTACAAAAATTCATGCTTTTAGAAAATATAAATATGTAATCCATAAGGGCATCAAAGCTTCATCTCAATTTCATTGTTTTTCACTGTTGCATGCAGTTTTCATAAAATCAAATAAGAGGAAAATGTGGCATTCACACTATTCTGAT